CAGGTCCTTGGGAAGGACTTGACAGGTGGATAAAAATGCCAAATCCAGTCTAAATATCTGGCTGAATATGCAACCGATGATGATGATGATGATGATGATGATGATGATGGGACCACCCAAGAAGGCCGCTCTTAGATTTGCTTTTTCTTATAAGGAGAATGCTGGTTGCTTACAAGGAAGATGGAAAGAATCTTTCAACTGTTTTCTTTAACACAGACCACTTTTTACTAAATTTAGGCTTGTAACAGAGGATCTATTAGGAAGGTAATAGCTTCCAGAACACTTTGGGGGATTTTCCAGGTAGTATGTTGGTGTTCTTGCTGGATACCTGGTCACCCTTTGAAATGTGGAAATAACTTCAACAAATGACACAACTACTTGTGACCATCCTCTCATCTTGGCAGTGCTTGCACAACTCCTTAATATTTATCTCTTGGCAGTGAAGCAAGCAGGAAAGAACCAGACTGTAGGTGAAAGAAAACTCTTCCCAATTCTAAACAAATACAAGAAAGAATTATTTACTATGCCTACTCTGTAGTAGTTCTACATGCAGGGAAGCAGATTTTCTCCTCCACCATTTTGATCCCTCACTAGAATCTCGCAGTTTGTTTGGTGGTCTTGGGTCTTCTAGATTCTGGCCTGGTTGGAAAGCTGATAGAATTGTTGGGAGCACTGACTTTTTAATCCATTATAGTTAAGAAAGTATCCTCTGTGGAGGCTTCCACAGCACTGATTAATCAAATGTTTAGGTTCTCACTTTTGGTTTCTGGGACCTGAAGTTGTGAACAAGATGTTTACAGAATTGGGCCAACTACCTGCTTACGTTGCCTCACATGCCTTATTAAAATCCAGTTCTTTAGAGAAGGAAATAGAGGATCTACTCCTGAAAATAATGAACATAACCTCCCAAATTATACTTCAATAAGTAAGCTGCGATGATGATGATGATGATGATGATGATGACGATGACTATGACGCACTTCAGAAGTTATTCTGAAAAGGTTCTCTACAGTGCAGAGAATCACCAATGTAGCATCTGTCAGCATCTCTTTAAAGCAACAGCATCTTTTCCTAGGATCAAGGGGCTGCTCTCAGAAGCTGCTACATAATGGAACTGTTTTACAAAGTTACAGACAGGTTCTGTGCTCATGCTCCATGTGCTCCAGGACAGCTTTTTAGAATTAAACATGAAGCACTGCACAGCCCTAGTAACTAATATTGTCTTCTTGGGAAAGATGCTTGAATGAATGGCAGTTGATTGGAAAGAACCTCTGAGCAATGAAATTTATGCTTTCCTCTCCAGAAGAGTCCACCCAAGCCAAACACTGAACAGCCTGCAATCCTCCTGAGCAGGAAGTCATTTTTTTTTGGAAGACTGGATGTTTGGTGTGTCAGATTCATAACAATAAGGAGCACCAAGTATCGGTTCTCCAAAACTGGCAAACCTGAACAATTATTTTCATTTACAAAACATATTCTCTCTGTTTATCATGGGCAGTAGGAAAAACTCAGTAGGACATTTGCAACCTAATCTGCTGGAAAGGTTATTAACCAATGATTATGGCTTCTACAGCTTCAGCCAGTATTAACTTCTTAACTTCATTACTTGAAGGAGATACTTGTTTGCATGTTGTCCATTCCCAAAGGCTCTGAACAGCTAACAATCAAAACCATCATAAAGTTAAAAAAAAAAAATATCCTCAAAAATAACAAATAAACCCACCCATAAAATTAACCAAATAATCAACGTGATCAAAACTGTGCAAAAAAAAAAAAAAAGCTGGTGAAGCAGCTGAAGCAATTGTCCACACAATTTGGAGCATGGTGGAGTAATTCACTGAAGTGTTTCATCATGCTATAGCAACTATTATTTCAGAAAATTCACATCTAGACCATGCTGACTCTTTCATCTTTTGCCTTCACTGCTGCTTATACTGCCACAATCAAAAGCTTCTCAGTGGTACCCAGCATAATCTAACATAAATAGTGAATGGTACAATAATGTTGGCAGTCTGACATGTCAACAGACACACAGAGATAAACCCCATCTAGATACCATTTAAAACAAGGTTCTTCAACCTTGGCAACTTTAAGATGGGTGGACTTCAACTCCCAGAATTCTGGGAGTTGATGTCCACTCTTCTTAAAGTTGCCAAGGTTGAGGAACCCTGATTTAAAAGATATAACCAAAGGTCAAGGAAGGAAACCCAAAGCCCAGACCAATCCTCCATAGCAACCAACACCCAGGTAAGCAGCAAACAGCCCCAGATAAACAATCAGGAAAGAAGCAATACCCTAATCAGGGAACCATTAAGGAAGAAAGCACACTCCCACCAAGACTGGCAGGGCAAGCTACTATACGTAAACAACCTGCAAACTTCATTCTTCCATACTGATGATGTTAGCTAGCCTGGAAACAGAAGGTCTGCAGGAAAATAACCAAGCTCAGAGAACGCCAGGAAACCAAGTGTTCAATTCTGAGTTACATGTAGTCTCCACTACTGGAGCACAGGAGAGTCATAGAAATTTGACATGTGCAAATCAAGCCTCAGCTGGTGTAAAAAAATAGAAGAAAGTCTCATGAAAGAGTTGAGGGTGGGAAAAGACATAGCTATCACAGAGAGGACAAAAGGGAAGAATCTTACCACCACATCTTTTTTCTTTGATACTGCTGGTTCTTGCAACTCTTATATCTACAACAGCAAATCATTCCGTTAACAACACTGGTGAAGAATGCCTGTTCTAAGTAATTCTTCTAAATTTCATTTGACTGCAATAAAGTTTTTCCTCAGTTTGTCTGATATGATACTTTATTAAGACTACAGGTTGCTAATTTGCCAGAACAATAATGCACTCAGATCCAGAAATTACAAATCAATTATGATTTTATTAAACTGGTATGCATTAATAGCAGCAGAATGTAAAAGCCAAGGTAGGAGAAGGAAGAGCTTGAAATCTACCAACTGCCTGGCATGTACATTTGGGGTAAGAGAGAAAACTAAGGAGCTACAAGTAATTCATCCTTGTCTCCTCCCTCCAGCTCCATCTTACTGAACAGGGACAAGCACTTAGTAATTCATTTTAGCCATATCTCAGCCTTCTTATAGCAAGTGTGCAGCCACCTAGCCCTACCTCTTATTCAGGAATCAAGTCAGAATATCATCAGTGCGTGCTCCTTACCTGGTATGAAATTAGAATCAGAATCACACGGCTGGCTTTCAGTGGTATTCCCCGAGCACTGCTGACCCACAGGAAATAAAACATTACACTGGCGAGTACGGACCTGGACTCCAGCTGCATCACAGCCTGACCAGTCTGACCAGTCTGACCAACTATCTGCAACAGACAAAAAGCAACAGTGTGTGAAGGGACCAAGAGTCCACCATGCTTTTCCTGGTAACTTCCCCCCACCCCCATCTTCACTTTTTCTATTTTCAGCATATTAACCTGATTCTGCAAGGACAATCAATGCACTGAAGCAATGACTATTTTGTTTTAACCATCACTGTGTAGATAAAATGATGTGCAATTTTTTAAAAATGCACACTTTACATTTGACACTACGTCTCTTTGTTGGATCAGGATGGATCGGCAGTATGAGTTTTAGCAATTCACCTACACTGAAGGGGAACAGACTAAACTCTCAGCCACTTCCTTCTGCTCAAAAATTCTTTGATATCCAGACCTTACAACCTTAGAGTAAGAGTGGAACTGTTCTGAATAACAAACAAAAATATATCAGTTTTGATCCTCAGACCCTTTTTCATACAAGGGAGACAGATGATGGAGGAGCATATACAAAAACTTGTTTAACTCTAAATTAAAATGATACCTTTAGCCTTTGGGAAATACATTACACCAGAACTAAGGCTGATATACATGCCGCTTAAAGATGGAAATTATTAATATTAATATCCCATCACACTTCTTGTTCTTGCTCCACATCAGTGGCTGCTGCTAGAGGTGGCAAAGAAATGCAGAAAATGTTGACATCATGATAATACAGGACTGGACAGTTATGGACCATTAGAGAGAAGCCAATATGGGGAAACACTGTCTGCTTTTATTGAGTGTAAGATTGCATATAGCCTATCCTGATTAGGGAATATTGGAATTAGAATCTAAACATCTGGAGAAAGCTGGTGAAACAGTCAGAACAGGGCAACCTTTTTGAATATGAATTGCCATTGACCCATGATAAGAGGGGGGAGGAGCCCCACCTTCTTTCTGCCATGCTTTGCTTTATACCTCTCTCTGTACTATAACTCCCCACCCTCCACCCCCCGGTTATAGATATAACCTCCATCCAGCCTCCTTCCTCTTAGCACTGAGTGTCTTGATATGGCAAGAACATTTCACAGGTTTTATGAAACGAGGCTGGCACCATCCCCAGCCGAAGCAAGGGGATGGAGCTTTTCTCTCTTACACAACATTAGGTGACTAGAAGAGGAACCATGGCACTGAAGTTGAATTAGCTAGGAATGGAAAAGGCAAAACCCACAACTGAAGTGGAAAATATGGCTAAGCAAAGGACTGGTCTGACCCACTGCTTTCCATGCGGGTGCTAACTGGAATTAGACAGTTTGCATAGTTCCCAGAGAACTGCTCAGTTCTGTGCTTCAGCATCCCCAGCTTTTATGGATGAAAATATGACTCTTACCTTGTATGCTATCTTTCTATTGTGGCTAATTCCATTGTGAGAAATCTTCAGAGCAGATTTGCATGGATTATAGCTCCACAATGAGTATGAGAGCACTGTGACAGACTCATAAGGCAGGGCCCAAACTAGATTAAAGGGTGGGGCCATCATAGTAGGCCTATCCCATGGAATGGATGAAATCTAGTCCTAGATCCTCTACCCAAGACTGAAGCTGGATTGGAATGTTGAGATCTGGTTTCATATTCCCACATCACATAACTTATGGCTTTTGGTAAACTAAAATATCTCAGCATTATCTTTCTCAGTATAACATGTGGACAAAGGAAAATAAATGTAGAAAAAATATTCAGTAAATAATCCCCAACATGCTACCTAATGTAATCTAATTCTTAGCAATGTCTGTTCTACAGTTGGTGAGAAAACAAGATGAACGTTTCATACCTGGGCACTGTTGTGTATTGCAAAGCGCTTCTTCGGTGTGGAGCCCTAGACAGATGTCGCCTCCATAGGCTGGTGCTGGGTTTGTACATGAGCGAGTCCTCATATAATGGCCACTTCCACACGTAGCAGAGCACTTGGACCATGATGACCAACAGGACCAACTTCCATCAACTAGAAGAAGAGAAACCATGCTATTGTTCCTTGTTTCTCAAAAAGCAAATAAACACATTCATCATCTTCCAGTACAACTGCATAATTTAGACCAGTGTTCCTCAACCTTGGCAGCTTGAAGATGTGTGGACTTCAACTCCCAGAAT